CTTTCCTCATTAGTTGCCCAGAAATTTCAACTATCTCTTAAGTATGAGTTTCCTTTTTGTTGCCATTGTGTCTAGAATTTTGTTGTTGCTCAATTGTTTGGTCCATGGTATTCTCAGCATCCTTTTCCAAACCCACATTTCTCTTGCTTCAAGTTTCTTCTTTATCTGTGAGGAGATTGTCCAGCATTGAACTTTTGAGTGTAGCTTTTTTTTTTTTTAAAACCACAGTGTTTCAAACAGTCAATTCTGAAGTCTTCAACTGTACAATCAATTATGGTAGGAACAAATGAGCTGAAATGGTCTGTATTACAGGTTGCTGCTTTATGGAACCAACACCCCACTCTTTCCTTATTAATTGTACACCTAAAGAGATCTGTGGAAGGGATTGTTTGAAATGTTAGGGTAGCACCAAAAGTAACTCAAAGAATATGTTTAATATTACAAGTAACATTTCTGAAAAACCTTTATAAATAAATAAACCCCCTCTTCCCGCTGCTACGCAAATTATATACACATGCTTGAAAAAAACAAAAACATATAGACTGTATAGATATTAGATATATTTTTTATCTTCTCCTTATTCCCTCCTTTCAGGCAAAGTTGTTCTTTTTTGCTCAGTCTATGACTAACAAAAAAATAAATAAATAAATACACATTTCTTTTTACGTTTTTAAAGACTGTTTCTTTTCCTCTTTACTTAAGATTTTTTTTGCATCATGAGCTAATATTACATTGTTTGATGTCTTTGTACTTGATCTGTCTTTTATATCCCCAAATATTAAGGATATAAACATGTGGAAGATACACATATAAACACACATGAATCAATTTTGATAAAAAAAAAATCATACAAACTAAAAAACTAGATATTCACAGAGTTGGGCTGGAGGCTTAAATACAAACATCCATACTTTTGTATGACGACACACATGCAAAAACATGTTAAATCTACTCTCTATTTGCATACATATCCATTTAAAGATGTACACAATTATGACTCTCTACAACTTCCTGTTCTTTGTATCACTAAGTAAATTTTGTCTTTTTGCTATCTCTCCTAATCCAAGTTTGGCCAACCATTTAAACAAGCTCATTAAGTCAGTTACTTGTTGCTTTCCTCTATCTCTCTCTTTCATTCAATATAGCCTGTGAGTGTCAAATTCTTGTCAGTCCTTTTTCCTCATTAAGTGCCTTAGAAATTTTATCTGTTTTCCTTATTCTAAATATAAGTGCTCCTTTTGTTTCCATTTTCCATAAAACTTGTTCCGTACATGCTATTGTCTTCAGCATCCTTCTGTAGAACCACATTTCTGTTGCTGTAAGTCTCTTCTCCTGTGATGAACTGTTATGCAGGAAAACTAACAGTACTCTTTTCTTTGTTTCTTTTCCTGTTTCTTAATACTTTAAGAAAACTTTTTGAAGACATTTTTTGCTATATCAATCTACCTTCTGATCTTGGTATTGCAAATAGTTATAAAATGACTGATTATATACATTCAGTTTACATAGTTTCATACAAAGTTATATTACCCCCCAGAAAATACACTTGTATGTATTTAATACAGAAATATCAACTATAGATATGTTTATTTTCATCTCGATTGCACTTAGTTATATGGATGCTTCCTGTTTGCTTTGAAATGAAGGTTTTGTCTCCATTATGATTAGGATTTCTTTACCACAAATGCAAAACCTGTAAAGAATAAAGGGTCTGTTATTTAATTTATTTTCATTGGTGGTAGCCATATCATTTCCTGATTGAATGAAAATATTTTCCCTTATCTTACATACAATACTGTATGTTTTTCTGCATTAAGAGATTTATCCATACTGCAGTAGTTACCTATGTGTATCTTTATAAAAATATTGTTATAAATTATCATTATTGTAATATTAACAATAATAATTTTATCATCAGTTTTCAAAAATATTCTAAATTTTATTAGTGCGTTAAGAACTTACATATTAATAGGAGAAAATTTATAACAAAAAATATATTACTGTGAAATGGTAAGATTGAAATACTAAATAATTAGCAAAAAACTGGTTTACTGGTCTTCTCTTATCAGACCTAAGATCGGGGACAAAATGTGCACAGTCACTAAAAATGAAAAGCAAAGACAAATGTTATATAAAAGAAAATATAATGCTTACTTTTAAGCTCACCAACCACTCCCTCTGCTTACAAAGAGGTGGCTGGTGAGACCTAATATAAACAGATTCTGACACTTTAATGTGAAACTTAGAATTAGCCTTGCCCAGCACTGAGAAAATATCTTGGTAATAAGACGAAGCACATTGCCAGTTTTTAATCAAATGTTCAGTTTTTGCTGAATCTGTTGTATTTATGCTTTGATGCAACTGGTTTACCTGTCCCTGGTGAATATTGTCCAAATTTTCTATTTAATTTTAATGTTTATTCATATCAATGCAATTTATTCTTGTTGTACCTCAGTTGGATTAAGCATTAATGGGGAGTAATGATTTGCATGCTGGTCTTTTTCTATGAATCATGTCTCTTCAGGACATGGACAATCATAACTCTCTGTAACTTCCTGTCCTTTGTAGCTCTTTGTAAATTTTTAGTCCCTATTCTGCTATCCATTTACACTATCTTAATAGGTTGGTTACTCACTGTTTCACTTTGTCCCTCAGTATGTTCAGTGAATGTCAAATTCTCCAATCCCTCTTTCTTCATTATGTACACTAGAAATTTTACTTTTCTGATTCTAAGTGTAATCATCCTTTTAGTTAAACTAAAAGTATTCTTAGCAACCTTCTGTAGAACCACATTTTTGTTGTCTCAAGTCTCTTCTTCATCTGCGAGGATATTGTCTAGCCTTCACTGCCATATAGGAGGATTTATATAACATAATAGTTTAGTATGCAAGTTGTTTTTATACCACATTGGGTGCTTCAGGGTTTGTCCACATGACAGTTTATTGCACTGAAGGGCCATGTAAACAAAGATTCTACAACCATAAAATATCTTTCAGGAGAAGGCAGTGTACATTTCTGTTGAAGTGGAAAGAATAATGGTAGGAATACTCCAAAAGTGAAATGGAAAATTTTAAGAAAAAACATTTGCCTATAACGCTGTACCTGGGAAGTGTCAGTTATGCCTGGAAAAAAAAGTTATATTTTTTTCTCCAGCAAGACAGACTATTGAATAAAATATCTGAATTACTTTATAAGTTCAGGCATGAGTACAAGTACTTTGTCTACTACTTGCTGCCTGACTAAATGATCATAGTCTCATTCATATTTATATGTCTAATAATCCAACCATGGTTTTTTTTTTCTTTGCACCTGAGGATTGTGTAAATGTGAAATTGGTAGTTGCATATATTAAGATGAACAAGAGACTTGAGACAACAAAAATGTGTTTCTACAGAAGGTTGCTAAGAATACATTTGGTTTAACTAAAAGGATGCTTATACTTAGAAACAGAAAAAGATAGGTAAAATGTCTAGTGCACATCATGAGGAAAGAGGGATTGGATTGAGGACTGACAAGAATTTGACACTCACTGACTACCTGATGATTGTGTTAAACTTTAAATGGTGGTTAGCCATTGTTCACTAGTGTTGTGTAGGAAACCTACCACCCCTCTTGAAGATGAACTTGTCTACAAACAAAGACGTTAAATAGTGGCATGTCAAAAGACAGACAGTGTCGGAGAAGTTCTTGGCTGAGTTAGTTATAGACTACTCAGGCGATTTCTGTACCTACTTACCAACCGAATAAAGCCCTTTTTATTGTTACGTGTTATTTGGCGTTTGTCTTATTAACCCCAAATCAACATCATAACAACTAGGAATTTATATTATTATTTTATATATAATATTTTTATAGCTTTCATATATATATATATATATATATATATATATATATATATGCAAGTTTTGTTGAAAACAATTGATATCTAAATGAAGCCTAAATGAGCTAGATATATGCATAAAACAATCCATACATCAGTTAAAAGCAAAATAAAATTCATCCATGATAATAGCTCAAAGTATAGCTGAAAGCGCTTGGAAAACATTTGGACAATTTTTATATAATTTATGTCCTGAAAAGAAAAATATTATATGAACACATGAGAAATTATATAAAAAACTCAACCACTGCAACCTTGTTAGTCATTTTCAATGAAACTTTCATAAAAGAGAGATTGCTGCCCAAATACACTACATATATAGTCATCCACAGACAGTTTCACTGTATCACAGCTCTTCAGTGTGGCTAGACATCCAATTGCTTCAAGCTGGGATTGAAACCTGACCAATTTGGTATCAGTCAGAGATTCTACTCCTAGGCTATTGTCGCACACATATATATATTTTATCATTCATACTGTGATATATAGAAAGTTGGATAAATATTTTCATTAATATTGCAACAAAAAAAAAATACTGTATAATCTTCTGTTGAAAAATCAAGTTTGCATGTTATACTAAATATTGTTGTTATTTAACATCACAATGATAATGAATTTTAATTAGAAATATATATTGTATGTTATCCTAAATGTTGTTATTTAACACAACCATGAGAAATAATGATTGGTATGAATGCACCCACAGCTCTCCAAATCAAGAACGAAAGATTTGTTTGTGTTACTTGTGCAAGTTGCTCAGCAGAACTTTTGCAAATTGTTATGTAATCATCTCTTTAATGTTGCAATTTAATGTGAAATTGAGAAGTAAATGTAGTTTTATTACATTTATAGTTGTAATACAACATTATAATTTGAACTACTTCAACTAGAAATGTTTACATTGGTAGTTACCATACCAAGGCAGTTGTTGCTTGTGCCATAAATTGCAGTAGGCTTGCTAGCCTACTTATCAGTAATGATACACCACAGGATTTAAGTTTTAACGTTTTGTAACTGTTATATTAGATGACACCCTATTTTAGTGGGTATTTTTTAAGATTTAATAGGTGCTTTATACATGGAATTATATAGTAGGATTCACAGAGACAGAAGATCACAATTAAACAGGATCCAAGGAGAGAGGAGATGACAATTGAACAGGAGTGAAGGAGAGAGAGAGTGAGGGGATGACAATTGAACAGAAGTGAAGGAGAGAGAGGAGAGGAGAATACAATTGAACAGGATTCAAGGAGAGAGAGAGAAGAGAGAAGAGATGACAATACAATTGAACAGGATTCAAGGAGAGAGAGAAGAGATGACAATACAATTGAACAGGATTCAAGGAGAGAGAGAGAAAGAGGCGAGATGACAATTGAACAGGACTCAAGGAAAGAGAGAGAAAATGACAATTGAAGAGATGAGCATACCAGTTTCAATAGCAAACTATATACTCTTAAGTACCTAATAGATCCTGAGCTGGGGAAGTATTCATTTTTTGGGTAGGAAATTTTCTGACACCTGTAAGCTTATTAAAACCAACGCATTTATTAATTTCACCATGTTTGATCCTTTAAATAAGTTTCTGAACCTCAGCTTTTACTAAAACCCTCCATTTACAGCATTTGGAAAAATTCTGACCAGTCCATCATACCGTTATTAAGACCCCCACCACTTTATATTAGACATTCCAAAGTAATTAAATTTGGAATTTTCAGGATTTTTCTCAGTTTTTTTCTCAAGTTATAGACAAGATAATCTGATGTTACCCAAGTTTTTATTGGTAATTATCATTAATCTTCATTAACTATTTTCCTGTTATGAAAAGGTTTCCTGGCATATAATATGCAGCACCTGTAATTTGACAAAGGCAACATATTCTTCTTTTTTTATCCCTATTTTATCAGCAGAAAATGTTTATGATTTCAGTTTTCATAATTGATATTTCATTCTTTCTTTGTCCAATTTATTGCTCTGATAAATTATGGTTTCATGAATCTAAATGATGAAAACAAAAGGTAACACATAATCAAGGTTTTCCTCCTTTATCGAATAAATAATCCACTACTGTTAATGATATCAAATTAGCTGCAAACAACAAAAAAGTATTTCATTAATGCACTTAGATTTTAGTATTTAGTTGAATATTAACTGTTCAGAAATTCAACATCACATGAGTTTTACACACACGCACACATAAGGTAACCAAAACTGTTTATCTTTTTTTTTGTAGAGTTTCTATTTCTTTTTATGGTCATCCTTTCTTGTTATCTGTTGCAGATGTTTAATTTCATCATTCTTGTTCAACTTCAATTACTTTATTTCTTGCCATATAAAAGATAACTGTAATTAGAAAAGGAACATTAATCATACTCAATTGATTATTCATCCCTACTTATATATAATTGTTGTTTTTTTAATATAATTTTTTTGGGAATTCTAATTTAATCATTAATAATTGTGTGTGTATATAAATTCAGACATAAATAAAATATATCTGTAAAAAGACAATATGAATAATGACAAAAGGAAAATTTTTCTTTACCAACATGTTTTACCCTCTGATGGACTTTGTCAAGGCAAATGGTTTTCCTTTTGTCTTTTTTATATATATATATATATATATATATATATATATATATATATATATATATATTCCCCCTCAGTGAGTTTGATTTTTGTGTGCATAGTATGTATGCATCAACTAATCTTATAACATCTTTAAATTGCTAAGGGTGTATAAAATGCACATTTTTGCAAGTATCAATTGCTGACTACCTGATGATTGCATTAAAATGCATGAAACTTTAATTTGTGGTCAGCCACTGTTCACTGGGAATATATATAATTATTATTTTTTATATATATATATATATATATAATTGAAAAGAAACTCCACATTTTAGAATGCTTATAATTTATTTATTAACTATAATTTTTACAAGAAATGAATATGAGAGGATATCATTTAGCCTGAGGTTTTATTCAAAATTTGATATGGCCACCATATTTCATTACCAGCTTCTCAAACCATCCATGAATCACTTCAACTGATTTTACCAGGAACTGTTGTGGTATGGAAGACATAACTTCTTGTATTTGCCCTTCAAGTTCTTCCAAAGTCCTGGTTTGGTTTAGCAGATTTGCTCCTTTAACCAACCCCAAAGAAAAAAGTCACAGGGTATTAAGTCAGGACTCCTGGCTGGCTACTTATCATACATAAAATAGGGAGATACTTTTTAATCACCCTGTGTGTGTGTGTGTGTATGTATATATATATATATATATATATATATATATATATATATATATATATATATAAGGGTGTACTTATCTGTTGAAATCAGACACATTCAAAGTTTAGGGACCTTTTTTTAATCCAGTTTATAGAAGTATATCTAGTAGCTGTAAAACTTGTGTGTGTGGATATATATATATATATATATATATATATATATATATAATATATATATATATAATATCATAAGTTGTAATCTACATTTGGCTGTTACATTAGCTCATTTGGCTTCATATCAAGCATCTAATATTGGTATCAGATCTATATTAGCTGCCAGAAATGATAGATCTGAGAAGAAAGCCAGTCTGTTTATTTCATAGCAAAGCAGACAAAAGAGTGTAAGGCAGATGCATGACGGATAAAAATGGCTGAGAACTTGGAAGGTGTGTATTCATTGGTTGGTTGGGAAATTGAAGTCTGAAGCTTACTTTATTGGGAGTGGGGATAAAAAATGTCTTCACACTTCAAGTCTGGTACTTTTTTTATTTACTTATCAGGTCAAACATGTAGGAAAAAAAGTAAGATATATTTTCAGCATCATAAATATATGAGTTACCTGCACCTTAGGTCTTGGTGTCCCTCAAGTTAATATTTCTGTTTTCTATATTCAGAATAGTACACCAATTTTACTAGCTTATAGACTAGCTGTTCTGTTGAAAACAAAATAAGCAATCAATGCATCATCTTGTTCTATTTTTAATATATGGTAATGGTAATATTACCTCTTTCCTTATAAGGAAACATTCAGCATTCATTGATCAAGTAGTCATTACTGATTTTGTTTGAGATTTATAAAATCATTCTCTTAAAACAATTTTTCAGGAAAATAGGTTTCTCAAGTTCAGTAGCTGTTATTGCTCTTTCAAATAATGATGTGAGTTTCCTTTCTAATATTTTATTTGAAGTAGTGTGGAATGTCAACATCATGATTCTGTCATTAATTTCTCTTTAAATTATATGTGCTATCCATTTTATCTGTTGCTAGTTCTCAGCTGATGTGATTTCTGTTATTTGGTACAGTTCTTTGTTTGCAATTCTGTATCACCAGTTCACAAGTTTCGAAGAAGTATGATTCCACAAGCCATTTTTAACTATTGAGCTGAGAAAGCAGTTGTATACAACTGACAGTTTAGATAGAGTTTGTTTTAATCCACTGTAATTTATAAGTTATAGTTTGTCCAAAGTAAAAATTATTTTGGATCTGTGATCTTCAATTGAAGAAAAACTACTTTAAAAGGCTTAAGAAGCAAGCTCATTCCCAATGTCTTTCATGATCAATTCATACATGTTCAAAACACTTGGTGATATCGCTAGATTCAATAAGCATACTTTATTAGCAACAAGAGAGAAAGATGAATTTTTACCAATTCCAAAAACTGTTGGTAACTAATATAGGAAGCAAATGTTATATTTGCATGCATAATAGCACAAGAGAACAAATTATACAAGTACTGCTGGTGAGGTGAAAAGAAGAAAACAGAGAATACAAAGGATCAAGGTGGGCAAGAGAAGTGATTTAGAGGAAGAGGATATATGGTAGGGTCTAGAGTTGATGTGTATGTTGGGTCAGTTGACCAAAGTCACTGGTGGTGATGTTGACTGCTCACAGCCAAGAGTCGAATTCTTAAAAACAGATGTGGTGGATCATGTCTCATCAATTATTTTCATGTTTTCACTTTGGCAGCAACATTTGATTGGGTTACTTTTATATTGTATTTCATTTTTTGAGGGGATTTGTTTTGTGAGTCAAATGTGATGTTCACAGCCCCTGCACAGTGAGTGACTTTTTTATTTTTATTTTTGCTTTCTTAGCATTCACATCCAGCCAACAGATAGAGTGGATCAGAAAAAGATTTAATTTGAAATAGATTATAACGCAAAGATAAGTATTTATAGCCAAATAATTCATAAAATTTGTGATATTGTGCAGTTTTATCCAAATCTTTGGAGAACAACTGACAAAGATTTTAGAATATGTACAGTCATCTTCACACTGAAAGATTATCTTTGAAGAGTTTACAAAACAACTATATTTTGAGGGAATATTTTAAAGTGGAAAATCAATAATTAGTGAATTGTTATTTACAATTAATCACCTGCAGGTGATTAATTAAACTTGGAAAAGGATAAACTTAGATAATAATTAAATGAGTATATATTACATATATATTGTTATCATGTATGTTTGTGCGTGTGTAAACATCAATTCCTTTGTATATCTCATATATATTAAATGGTAAGATATGTGGCTACTTACTTATCTACTTTTTGTTATGAATAATTAAAAAAATATCTGCTTACATATACATTAGCAATGGCAAGATAATTTTCTTATTTACACACACACACATATATATATATAATCACCTAAAATGATTAATATATATATATATATATATATATATATATATATCCCAAGAGGTGCATAGAATTTGTCAGACAAATGAAGAATTTTACTATCAGATTTATGCAACTGATTTCTCAGATTAATGGTTAAAAATGGCTTTGAGTGAATGAAACTTGTTGGTTTCAGTGAGGATTATCTTTCTTCAAATCATGTTGACTAATGCTATAGAATCAAAAAGAAAGAACTGTTATCAGAAACCATAACTTGACATTGGAAACAACTAAAATGGATAGCACATGTACCTTGAAGAGGAAATAATGATGTAATCAAGAAATTGACATTCCACACTACTTCAAACAAATGGTTAGGAAGGAAACCATTATTAATACTGAAAAGAGTGATAACAGCTATGGGACCTGAGAAACCCATTTTTCTAAATAATTGTTTTAAGAAAAGAGATTTTATAAATTTAATTTTTTTTTTTTTTTTTTTTTTTAGGATTTGAAATCGATTTTCTGTAACTGGCAGTTTTGCTTGACAAAAAATTTTGATGATTTAAATTCTTTGAGTACTTATGCTTATAATTAATATAAACATTAAGCCATACAAAAATGAATTTATCAAAATTTCATAAAATTAAATAAGTCAAAGGTAAAAGATGTAAAAAAAAATATTTTTACCAAGATTTTCTAAATATTTTTCATTAAAGATATAGATTTTGACAAAATTTAGTTTTTGTTAAGTTTGGGCCATTTTTTCATCATGTTCACTCATTTTTAAAGGTATCTCATTTTAACAGATATATTTATCAAAATTACACAAAATTATCTTGGAATACTAAAGAGTAAATTTATTCAATAAAATTGTCATTGGCTTCAATCACAGCCTTCAGACAACTATGGAATCTCCTGCAACTCTTCTGGATGGTTTCCTTGTTTAAGTTGGTGAATGCTGCCATGATCTTTGCCTTCAGTTAATCTTTCGTGTTACAAGGAGTTTTGTTGGTCTCTTAACTGCACTTCACATATAATAATCAAGGGGATTGCAGTCTGGGGAGTTAGGTGGCCAAATGTAAGGGGTGATGTGGTCACAGAAATTCTGTCAGCCATGACTGGGTTCTTCTGCTTGTGTGGCAGAGTTCTGTTGCCAGACATAGGTCTTCCACCAGCCACCCTACAATACAAAAATGGCGACATTTTACTCATTGCACCCTTTTTGTGTGTGTGTGTGTGTGTGTGTTTTAAGACATTTTTTTATGTTTATATGTTCTTTTTATAGATACAAATATTTAAGTAAATGCTCTGTTAATAATAAACAGTATTAACAACATTTACTAGCCTGAATGCATGAGAAATTTTCATAGAAAATATGCATCCTCTGACAGATTATTATAAACAGAGCATTTACTTAAATATTTGTACCTATAAAAAGAATGTATAGAAATAAAAAATGTCTTAAAAATAATTCTTGGGCTTTGTCCATTTCATAATATATATATGGGGTATATATTGGCAGCAGATTTTCATTTATAGAAGTTGGATTAAAAACCAACAAAAGCTTGTTGGTCTTTAATCAAACTTGTCTGTGTAATGTGTGTGTGTGTGTATATATATATATATATATCCTAACACCATAGACAAATAAAAAATCACAAGGCAAACAACTACCCAATCAGGAAAGTGAAATGCTCAACATCCAGATTATCTAAACATAGCAAAAACACTTCACAACATCACAAAGGACATCTTGAGTCATTACTTGAGTTCCACACTTTCACAATCTTCAGACAACTAGAACACCTTATATATATATATATATATGTGTGTGTGTGTGTGTAATAGTCTATGTATGTGTATTTTCCTCCTTTGGTGATTTTAGTTGATATGTTCATTATGCATACTCACTCCTAACCCTTATTGTAATATCTTGGTTTAGTCAGTTGGGTATAAGTGTCCATATCACCAAAACACTGTTACCATCTAACTGGTGACCGTGTGCTAGCATGTACTAAATTCAGGCCTCACATATCTTACTTCCAAAACTCCCTTTCATTTTTTTTTTCAGCACTGTTTTATGGCCATTTTTTAAATTATTTTTAAACTGACATTATATTGTCAATAGTCAACCAATAATATACATCATGTATCTGCATGACCAGTGCTGTGGATACTTGGCAGGAATCTCCAGACAAGGTTAGAACCCCAAAAGGGCTAATTTCAGCAGCGTATTTTTGCTTCTTGAACTTTTTACTTTTTTTTTCTACCTAAGTTATATTGTCAATCATCAACTATAATAATCGACAGGGTCAGTGCTTACTATCCCAAACCTCTCAGCCGTGTGGAGACCCCAATGTAATATTACTAATATTAATATTAACCAGAAGTCCATGGCTAGTAATTAAAATAAATATATTGGTGGTTATTACAAAAAGAATAATATTCTCTTAGATTTTTTTAAAATAAAAAGAAAAACCTATTTATTATAAAAGTAAATAATTGATAAATATGTACTGAAATTTTCATTTAAATTGGATAATTCCGATTTTTGTTAATTTAAAAAAAGTGCTGCCCTTTCTCCTTAATTTTCCTTTGAGGGTTTGTGGCTCCCAGTTTGGGAACTTTTGAAATAGACATGTAGTAGATAGGGGAGCCCCTGTATCAAAGTTATGGGGAATGAGACCCTAGTGCTGGTCCTGACTAAATTGATGACTCCATGACTATATTCTATAAAATATAATGTTCTGCTAGTTTGGTGTTGAACACTTTGTCTTGGTATGTTAATTTAGTTTACTCCTCTGGGAGTTATTTTTGTATATTATATAACAGAATTTGTCAAATAAGATTTATCTTATTTCATTTTTAATTTACTTTTTACACTTTGAAAACAAGCAGTTGGACATCCATATCAAATCTTTGTCTGGTCAGGCTAAATGCCATCTGACATGAAAGTGTATACAAAGCAGATTTACCCACTAATGAATGTTTATGGAGACTTACAGTGACATGATTGCAGTTAGATGGTGGATAAAAAAAAGGTTCATAACCAGTGGCAGGGACCATGTCATAAAATAATATTCTATAGCTAAAAATTTGTTGTATCCAAAGATGTTATTATACTCCCTGTATCTGTATGTGTAGGTCCCACACAAATAAATAGTAGACATTACTTTCAGAGTGTCGCTTGAGTGTGTGTGTGTGTATGTATATATATATATATATATATATATATATATATATAGATAAATTTCCATGGATTCATCCATAAATATATATAATGTCTCAAAATACTAACTGCAGAAAAAGTGTCATGGTTATCTTTCTTTCTTCAATCCACCCCCATATTGTCACCGAAATCACTGCTGCTGCTATCATATGTGTTATTCTTATCACTTTTATCGACTGACTGTCAACCACATAGAAGTGGGAAATCAATTTTCACCTGGTGGTAATGTATTGATTTCAGAGTGATGATATCCTTTGAGATTGTGGCTGAGACAATTGTACCGAAGTCTGCTTGAAGGGTTAGGAGCATGCAGATCTGGAATTGGTTTACATGGAGGAGTAGGAAGAGGCTGAGGTCGATTCATGTACATGGGGAGAGAGGCAGATAGATAGAGGTATATTGTGAATAGATTGTGATGGGTAAGTATGAGGGCCAGCTGAAAGCTTATTAGCTAAACTCAATCCCCAAAATCTCACCAAATGACAAAACACCTCAATATCTTTTGGAAGTGCTTCTTCTTGCTTGGGCAGAGAACTTTTCAGCACACTCTTGTAGATCTCAACATGTTAAGAGGTAGTTTAATAGACAAAAAAGGTAGATAGAAATGTTGTGCTCTTATGTTAACCTCTGTAAAGAAACAGAAAAAAGATACATGAATAGATTTGGGTTTATTCAATTACAAAGATTTGTGTATATTTTTGCACACACACACACACAATGAATGTATATATATAAAAAGAACAATATTGTGGAAAAAGGTTTCTTGTGATATGTTTTGTCTTTTAGGACTTAATCAGACTAAAATGTGTCACAAGAAAACTTTTTACACATTGTCATATATATATATATATATATATATATATATATATATATAATCTCACACACTGAGTGCTGGTACTAATAAAATAGTGCTCAATGTCTAATAACAGAATTATAATTTATATTCATAATGAATATACATTTTTTTCCTCACAGGTAGCACAAATCTAAATAAAATGGACTATGCTATCATTACACTATGGTATAAGTATCAGTATGTGATTACTTTGTGCACCAAACTGAAATTTGTGTTACTGGTGATGAAAAAAATGTATATTTATTATGCAGTGGAACCTCGGTTCACAAATTTAATTCGTTCCTGAAGGACATTTGTATGAATATATATATATATATATATATATATATATAAATTACAAAATGGAAAACATTCTGCATGACATGTTTCATACCTCAGAACTTCAGCAGTAATGTTTTTGTTGATGGAATTCTATCTAGGAATGGGAGGATGAATGTAAGAATTCTATCTAGGTATTGGAGGAGGAATGTAATACAAATCTAGGTATTGGAGGTTATAATTATCTAGGTATTGAGCCAATGAAACAAATGCTGAAAATTATTCCAAAAATGCTGAAATTAAAAAAATAATAATTTAATTTAAAAGTTTAATAAAATTTTAGCATTTTAAATATTTTCAGCATTTTCTGTCTGTGCATAAGTTTTTATATTCCCTCTTTCTTCATGCTTGAATGCATTCTTCTTGAAGATTGACACTTGGTGTTGACTTTAGTGCCCACTTTTATATTTATATATACATATTTATATTGTGTTTCAGCATGAAGCTCTGAGTAGCAGATTTTATTTACCATATAATTTTATTGCATTAATATTCTTATAATATTTGAGGACTGTTGGCTTTGGCATTGAGTTCACAGTTTATTGTATGTAGTGATAAATGGCAAATGGAATCTTAAAAATAAGGTCAGTTGAAATTTTAAAAAGAAATTTTAATGATAAATAATAATGTCTTGATAGAAAATTTGATAAACAAACAGCAAATTTTATAAAGAAATACAAAATCAGTTGTTAGCATGCAATTTTAGCATCTATAAATGACTGGGCATAAGAAGAGTTTTATTATCTTCTTTTTTAAACAGATGTCATATTTTTTGAACTAGTAATCAATGGCTGACAGTTGAAACTATTCTTCCTTATATTCTCTTCTCTCTTATACATTATTTCTTTTTCTTTGCTGTTACACCATTTACTTGAATCCTTATCATTTTCTAGCCTGAAAGCATTTTTTTCATCCTTCACTCTTGCTTCTTGAAATCTATTTATTTTTCCTTTAAGCTCTTTTCAGTCTTTACTCTTTCCTTACATATATTACCAAATGTTGTTTGAACTTCTAAGATGAATCCTTATCATGATTCCACAAGTAATTTGATGCATGTTAGCTGGATGTAGAATACTATCTGAACAAAAGTGAAAATGCTTTTGTAATAACACATTTTACCTTCGTGTGCAAGATGGCATCTTCCAATCAGAATGAAAGGACAAAATTGTGTTTTTTGAATTAAAGTCATTAATGCCTGTTAAATTTGAAATTAGCCAATTCCATGTAGATCTGTTATTCTCTCTATTAGTTAATATATCACATTATACTTCTATTGCTTTTGTGATAATCGGTGATATTATGTATGAACTTAATCTTAAGTTTATCAAGAATTGTTGAAATCAATGCACTCTCAATGCATAATATCATGCATAATATCACTGATCATCATAAAAGCAATAGCAGCACAATGTGGTATACAAACTAATAGAGAGAATAACGAAGATCCACTCAATGTGGGATAATTTTAATTAGCAGCTTTAATACAAAAAAACATAGTTTTTGCCCTTTCATTCTAACTTGATTGATTTTTTTTTTATCACTTATCAACCACTTCAATGTTATTTAAAGCCAGAAAATATTTTTAGATTGTAAGAATTTCTTTTGTGATAATAATGATTTACTGATACAAGTCAATTAGAGGAGAAGAGGTATATTTATATCTTTCTGAAGAGCATTGTCACATAAGTAAATATAATAAACCCCACTAGAATTGGAACTTGGCTCTGATTTCTAGTTCTGAGCTGTTATCCATTACACCACCTGCACATCCAAGCTTACACCACTTGATATTGTTAATTGGTCACCCATCTAGGTACTGACCAGGCTCAATATTGCAGATGGTTCAAGATAACATGGCTGTAACCCTCATTCTGACTGGAAGATACCAACCAAGTAAACAGATATTAATGTCTTAAATACAAAACAAAAAAAAACAGTTTTGTTTTACATCCTCCTGGAAGATGCCAAACAAGCAAAAGAAGATAAAATATGTTGTCATTAAAAATAGCTTTTCCACTTTTTCACCTTTAATTTGGTCTTAAATTCTCATACTTGCTATTTTTATCATTACATGTTAACTAATGTATTCTGTAGAGTTCTTCAAGTGTACTGTTCATCTGGATGTAGTTTTCTTTTATAACTGGTTCTCAATCTGGTCATCAACGATTACAGTAAACATTCTAGCTAGTAAGTTCAAAAAAAAAATATTGGTTAATTTTCCAACTAGACACACAACACATTACATACTCAAATCTCTTAACATACCTTTTCTTAATCTAATAACTTTCTTATTACTTCATGGATAGTAAAACAAAAAAAAAAAAAAAACTTATTTTCATGTATAATTATTCTTTACTTTCCTTTGATCGTTTTAATAGGAAAAAACTGATATGTGAAGATAAAATAGATAAGAATGAAAAGAGAAATAGATTAAAACAGAAATAAAAATTGATGAAATTTAATAAGATAAACAGAAACTAGATCTCACTAACGTATAATTTGTTCCCATAGTGTGAGTTAATGTAAAGTTCATATTAAAGAGCTTTTAGAAAGTTGAAGTTACTAGTGTCCTAGTTGTCTGCATTATGTCTTTTGTTGAATGATCAGCTGCACTAAATATTAACTTAATGCAAAAGTTCATAAAGTTTGAAAGAAATCTTAAAAGTATCTGTGATGTTTATTTAACTTTTTATTGACTCTTTAAGGATTGTTTGCAGAAATATTGATAATTTTATTTTGTTGGCAAATCATAGTTGAATCTCAGATGTAAATTCTCAACAGTTTACTTCTTCTGTGTGCCATGTCCCTTCAGTACATAGGTAATCATGACTCTCCACAATTTCTTGTCCATTTTAGATTTTAGTAAATTCATTTTTTTTTTGTTATCTTTCCTAAACCCTGTTTTGCACAATCTCATTATGTAGGTTATGCATTGTTTTTCTCTCCAGTTCTTGCCTTCAATATGTCCTGTGAGTATTAAATAAGTATAAGTGCCCTTTTTGTTTCCATTTTCTCTAAAATGTTGTTGTTGCTCATGTGTTCAGTTCATGGTATTCTCAGCATCCTTCTGTAGAACCACATTTCTGATGCTTCAAGTCTCTTCTTCATTTGTGAGGAGATTGTCTCTACTAATGTTTACTAGTAATGTTTAATCTGCTAGAAATGTTGCATGAGGTAGGTAGTAGATCCCTGAAGATTATGATAATAATGCAGTAGGTGCAAGCATATAATGAGAATAGTATTCATGGTTTTAAAATAGTCAGCTCAGACATGAAGTAATCTCTTGTTGTTTTCAAAACTGAAATTTTTAGAGAAAAATGCAGCACAAGAAGCAGAAGAACTTGAAGAAAAACTTAAAGTGAATTGTATGATACAAATTTGTAGAGTATCAGGATAAATATTTGAATCATTTGTATGATACATATTTGTAGAGTATCAGGATAAATATTTGAATCATTTGTATGATACATATTTGTAGAGTATCAGGATAAATATTTGAATCATTTGTATGATACATATTTGTAGAGTATCAGGGTAAATATTTGAATCATTTTTATTATACAAATTTGTAGAGTATCAGGGCAAATAACTGGATGATTCATTAATGAAGCTTGGATTTTATATGTATAAAATTAAATAATACTAGAAACCTAATAAAACTGTTCTTATTGAAATTTAGTATGGTCAGTGACCAAGAGATCACTAGTGTAAATTGAGAAAACTACTATTGACAGAAGCAGGGGAAAAAAGTTTATGTCACTCTTACCAATACACTCTGTAAGAAATTAGAATTTGAAGATAATGAGTTTTGGGATTTATTTTTTTTAACTCCAGGATATAGACATTATAGCTTCCACTAACGGTACAACAGAAACCATCAGTATTTCCAAGAACAACACTAAACTTCTCCATTGTGTGTCATTGTTGAGCAAAAGAGTAACCTGAATGTTTTTTACTCATTGCATGTGTCAATGATATTGGTAGTCTTTTCCATTATTAGGAAAGTTTCTTTTTAAGTTAAGTTTAAAAAAAGAAAAAAATTGAAAAAGGAAACTTATTCTTGGCTTTATGCAAATCTCTGTTATAAATTTTATTTGAACGACATTAGATCTTTGATCTCATTCAGCCTCTGGATAATCGTGATACATCTATTACTTCAATTTCTCTTTTTCTTTTTTTAATAAACTTGTATGTTGCCTCCCTTTTAGAAAAGGAATTTGTCTTCATCTTCAATGAGTATACAGGGACAATTTGGATATTGTTACAAGTAAAAGGTCAATTTAAAACTTGTTTTTCTATCATTATACTTCATATTCATTTATCCAGTTTTATTTGTTTATGATGAAAGTAATGAATAAAATAAATGGTTTTTTTATATGAAAGTCTTTACTCAAAATAAAATTATACAGGCAGTTATGAAAAGGAGAGACGAGTTGGAAAGGAGAAACTGGAAAGTCCAGAGAAGGGAAACAAGTTTGGAGGAACATTTAAAGAATTCAAGGAGAATAATTACGACAAAGTATAGACAAGAAGTTAGGGATGAGGCTGTAGAGAAGATAGTCAAGAGAAAAAAAATGAATTATTGGTTCAAGATGATGAGTGTTCATGGTGATCAGGCTCCAGCAAAAGTCTAGAAAATTTTGATAAGATTCATGAACTCTTCTGTGAAGACCATCACCAAAAAATCTATTATTTTTTTACACTCTTGCCTCTAATTAAGTTACATTTCCTATATTTTATTTGACAACCTCTGTTTACTAACATTCCATGTTGGCATGTTGTGCAAAAATGATTGTTTATTGTGTTTGATTATATAATTGTAGTATATTCTATTATCTGAGATATCAACACTGTCTCTCTGCCAATTAAAGTGAATAAACAGAGTAATAGAATTATAGGCTATTTTCACCCATTTTTTAAATTATTTTTCTATCTTTGAAAGAGTGCTTTCTTTAATTTGACTGCCTAATCCCATTTTTTAAAATATAATTTCACCCTGACAAGGCAATAATGCCACTAGTGCATGAGCTTACTAAGAGAATAAGAAGACTTTAATGAGGAGAAAGGACAATAAAAGAACAGGATTCAGGAAGACAGAAGATTGTGATTGATGTTGCATTTAAATTTTTGAAGATTGTAGGTGGCAACTCAATAAGAAAGCAGAAGAGAATTCCAGAATCGAAAAGTGTGAGAAAAGAAACCATTAGTATAGAACTTACGGTTATATCTAGCTAATTCAACTGAATGAGACCTATTTGTCAATCTAGTAGAAGACCTACTAAGGAGGAAAGCTCATTAGAAAAATTACCATGAAAATATTTATAGAAAAGACAGCGGGAAGCCATGTCATGGCAGTGGGAAAGTAACTAAAGTTGAGATGCCAAATCTGGATGAATTACATTACAGACCTTTGTTTGAATTTTGTCAAGAATCTTGAGATACATAAAAGGAGCACCAGACCCAGTATGGCAGCAGTATTCAATGCATGGATGAATGGTAGATTTATAAATGTGCAAGATGGATTCTGACAAAAAAAATTGTCTGACATGGCACAGTAAACCAACTTTCCTAATAGCAGACCTAGCAACTGATTCAATATAATCACTCCTCTTCATTTTAATGGAAAACATGAAATCAAGAAGGTGCAATGAGTTGCTCTCTTAAAGGATAACATCAGCCATGCTGATTTAAAATTAAAAAAAAATCTGTGTGGTGAGTAAAAGATAGCAGTTATGTTTTATAGGCGTTAAAATTTGCAAGCTATTCCTTACTCCAGTTAACAATTGATTGGAGGACATTTTCAAGATTACATTTTGGAAATTGATCCCCACACACACATACACACACATTTGATACCTACCCTCCTGTTTATTTGAGAAGCAAGGTTATGGAGTTTGCCAAGAAATTATCATGGAAACCTGATAATGCATTGCATTGCTATAAATTTCATATCATAGCTATTGACACTTGATCAAAAGCTAAAATTACTATATACATTTCCAATTAAATAATCTATAAAAATATAGGTTACTGGTACTGTTTTTTAGGGTTATTTTGAGAACTTTCTGATGCTACTTTGTAAACATTAATTATAAAAAAAATGTACTATGTGTATGAATAGTCATGTTGGTTTCATTGGCAACAAAGAAAAGAGTGCTGGACTTTTATGCAATGTCAATCCTCTTTTATGGCAGTAAATGTTGGCCTATTTCCTCACAGATGAAGAAGAGACTTGAAGCAGGAGAAAAATGGTTTTACTGAAGGATGCTGAGAATCCAGTGATTAGAAGGGATAGCAAAAAGGCAAAACCTTAATAAGAGCTACAAAAGACAGGGAATTGTGGAGAGCCATGATTGTCCATATCTTGAAGGGATATGGCATATGGAAGAAGTGCTGATGAATGAATATGTACATTCAGTGCATTTGTGAATATACTCATTTATGTATCTGAATATATTGATATGTCTAAAAACAACGAAAACTGTTAGAGAGACAGAAAAAAAACAAAACAAAAGTTGGGGAGGAGAAAGATAAGTTAACAACAAAAATAAGATGGTGAAAGCAATGTGAGATCAATGAGTGCTGGGAAGTCTAAATATTTTTGTTCATTTCTTTCACTGCATATGCTCTCTCTTCTTGATAAAAACAATCTTCATACCATGAAATATCCTAGTCTCACTATCTGGCACTGACATGGGCCAGTGGACACCTGGTTTGTAAGAAAATAGTTAAGCAAAAATAATGAAAGTCATTTGTTCTCTTCAGGCATCTGATCTATCACCAACATAAATATAGATAAAAGCACCTTGTGAATTTTTTCACTGAAGAGTTTCCACAAGAATAAAAGTGGCTGAAATGACTGTGAAAACAAAATTTACCCTTTAAAGAAAAGTATAAGTACTTTTGAATAATAAAATAAAAATAAGTCAAAGAACAGATAAAAGAAGTTCTGAAGTGAAGAACATGTCTTGAAGCTGATAATCTGACCCAGACAGTCACCGGTTGATGCTATAAAAATCGAATCTCAAATGAAGTAATATTCCACCTCTCTTCTACCTTAAGAAATAAGATATTAAATGAAAGAGAAACTGATCTACACCTGCTTCTAATTCTGTATGATAAAAAATGCTAAGGCTTTAAAGGGGAGAACAGTTGAGTTAGTTCTCTCTTTTCTAAAAGAAACATTAAATGGTGTACAAGCTTCACTGATCATTGAGAGTTATGCTCAGAATTATGGGTTCTTCTTTTATTTTTCTTGACATTGTTGTCTGTGTTCCAAACTACCAAGGAAATAAACAAACAAATAACAGAAATACTAACAGTGACAAATAACATGAACAGTAAATACAAAATTGTGACCTTCACTTCAATATCAAACTTTGTAGAATTTTATGATTGATTTGACCTCTGCCAAGGTTGATTCTGAAGGTAAGAGATTTTTATTCTTACTACCTTGACGGATAAAATAGTTGCAGAAACAAGGTTTGTCTAAATGCTCACTTTATTTTCTATCATGGCTAGTGATGAGACGTTTTAAGATATTTTTTGAATCAATAAAATGCAGAGAAATAGACTCATGATTTGCCCTATGGTATATATAAAAAGTGGGAATAAAACCTCTACTAAAATTTGAACTCTACTATAACACCCCACAGAATTTTATCTTCTTCTTCTATGTGCAATGTCCCTTCAGAATGTCGGTGATCATGGCTATCCACAAGTTCCTGTCTTTTGTAAGATTTCTTTCTTTTGTTATCTCTCATCTTCTGCCAACTATTCATACAAGCTCATTTTCTAGGTTGAATGCTGCTTTTCTCTGTCTTCCCTTCAATATGTCATGTGAATGTCAAATTTTCCAAGCCTTATTTTCTCATTTTTGTGTCCTTGAAATTTCAATTGTCTCTTTTTGATTCTAAGTATAAGTATGCTCTTTGTTTCCATTCTCCTTAAAACTTTATCGTTATTCACATATCCAGTTCATGGTATTCTCTGCATCCTTCTGTAAGAACACATTTCTATCACCTCAAGTCTCTTCATCTTTAAGTGAATTGTTCAGCATTCACTGCCATGTCGGAGGACAGATATTACATAATAGTCCAGCACTCTTTTCTTTGTTTCTAACAAAAATTTCCTGTTTCTTAATACTTAATGCTTAGCTTTTGAAAGTCATCTTACATCATTCTAATGTACATTCTGATTTCAATGTCAGATTTTCTATCCTGTTTTGTTTTAACAGTATAGAAAATCTGACTTACTTAGATATTTAAATTTTTATATTTACTTGATTCGATTGCTTCAATTCAAAGTTCACATCTTGGGCTGTTCCTCTTCCAGACAACAGTACATTCTGTGTTGGTAAAGAACTGAAAATAATACTGAAGAGCAGAAAGAAATTAATGTTTGTAATTAGTCAGTCACAATTCGTATAGTAAATAAACATTGAATAATTATGATAAAATTTTCATCTGTAATTTATTCACATTTAGTATGTATATTTAAAGATGTAAGCTTATTTTATGTGAATGTAACTTTTTTCTTATTTGCAATGCACATAGAAATGGCTATGTGCCTAATATAGAGAAAATTCATACATTTTAATAAATTTGAATACTCACTGTTTACAGGAGTAAAAGAAGTATAAATATATTGACCTAGAGAAGCTTCAGTTGTCAGTGAGCCATTTGCTGATCTCTTTGAGGAAACATAATTCCTTGGCATAGATCTTTCATAGATGACTGATCTGATTTGACTGACTGCAACCTGCTGCAAAGCCTTGTATTTATATGTTTCCAAGAGATATGAACTCATTTTTAATTTACTGACACCAGCAATGATTGGTTGAATTTGTTTTAATATATGTTATGATTTGATTTCTAACATGTCTGTAATTTTTTATCATATTTCAGATTTTGTTTTTGGCAGCTTTTTTACCAGTATCCTGTCATTGTGGCATATACATATATATGATAAATATAATTTTAAAGAACTCTTATACTTAACATCAGAAAGAGACAGAGTTTTATGGCACATCATGAGGAAAGAGGGCTTGGAAAATTTGATACTCACAGGACAGATTAAAAGCAAAAGAGACAGGAAAAACAAAGCATAACCTATTTAGTGAGCTTGAGTAAATGGATAGCAGAACAGGGTTTAGGTGAGATGACAAAATTTATTAAGAGCTACAAAGGACAGGAAATTGTGGAGAGCCTAAAGGGGCATGGTATATAGAAACAGATCAGAAAAAAAGTGCTCAATATCCAGAATAGAGCATATGGCCTGAAGATTGCATTAGAACATGAGACAAACTGTCACCATTCGGTTTTGAACTTTGAGTCCACACTACTTATATGTATGCAAGTATGTATGTTGAATCTCTTTCATGTGCCCTTTTTACATCACTCTTAAATCTTTACACAGATGTTGTTTTCGTTATTAAATTTGAATATTACAAGTTGGAAGAATGAGACAAAGCTTGTTTTGTCCATTAGAGATGCATGCTGATATACCATTTGTTGCAATAAAATAGTGCTTCTGCTATATATTTA